CGGAGAAAGGGAGATATACATACACCTATCCTGCACTTAATATTCAGCACCGTGCTATGAAATCGTTAGCTTCAAAGCTCTATATCTTTAAACCTACACATAAGATCGCTTTGGGCCCATGACAACTTTTGCTCAGGAAGGTGAGAGCTATATCATATTTCAATTTCAGCCATTTTGACCGAAAGCCATTTTCCATAAGGTTTGTGCGGGGTCCTTTAGCTTAAAATTTTTTTTCGAGATATTTGAAAGTGAATTAACTATGATACAAGACTAAAGGCTTTATAAAAACTGTTCTTGTTGCATTCCACTAGAATGACCGTTTTCGATAAATGGTGGCCAATGCACGTATAGGTGTTAGAGCATATTCTTTTCTTTTTATATGTATATTAGGAAAAGGGATAAGTTCAAGGTTATTTTTAAGAAAATAGTTTTGTCTAATCAAAAATATTACTATAAACAGGCAGGCAAATAAAAAATACAAAAAACATATCACCATATATCTTATCGTATTTCGATAAGTTGTTGGCGTTTCAAAAGTCAATCTGTTTTCGTTTTCAAAAAATTATTTTGACAGTTAATTTTTTTTTGTAATGACAATTTAAATTTGTTTAATTTTGTCTGTTTCCGTAATTAAAGATATCAATATGATATTTATTCTATTATTACTTACTTCTTTTAGAACAGAGCCTTCATAAATGTTTACAAGCCACATGACCGCTGAGCTTAGTCAAAAACAATGCACGGTTAGTACTACCAACTGAAAATTCTTAAATCTTAATGTCACCAATATGAATGATTCTTTTACAAAAAAGCATGACCAACCGTTACGTCTACGTTCGAGATGATGCGATAGCTGACTGATTGAACACAATCTCGTGAAAGATGACCAATCATCAGCCGGTGAAACAGAATGCGATATAATGTAATCTTGATCTTATTACCGGCATTTAATTGCCAACGTGAAGGAAATAAAATTACTGTTCCAAACAAAATTACTGATCACGTGGCTTATAATCATTTATGAAGGCTCTGCATTTGTAATCAACAAGGATCCATTTGACAAAGTATTTTGAAACACACCCTTCCCTTTTAATAAAATAATCGTGAACTCTTTAATTTTTGTTTTAACTGTATCACTTTTCTTCTCCAAATTTTGGCCATTGAATTATAACCGTTTCCCCAAGCGTGATAGCAAGTTTTTTATTTCTCAAATTCTTGCTTTTTAATGTAATGTTTGTGATTATCTATTATAATATTTACAGATCGGAAGTCTCACCAATAGATTATTGCATTCACAAGATGTAGGTATTATAAATCCAATTGTTTTAATTTTGTGCAATATTATTTTGCGTGCCTTTGAGAAAAAAGTTCGTAATGTATTAGTTGTCTTAAAAACTGGTCTATAATGTTGAAGTTACCTCTTCTCCTTTATTTATCCAATAATTCATAAATAAATATTAAAAGGTGAATTAAATAATAATAGAATAAACATTATAAATAGGGCAGTCGAACTGAGCCGCGAGAGATAGGCGTACGCATTATTTATTAAAAAACAACAAATTAAATTGTCTACAGTACACCACCATAAACACCAACGAGTAGGAATTAATTACGCAACATCCGCACGATAACAAAGGCAACAGTATATGTACTAACATCTTCATCTTCATCTTCATCTTCATCTAGTGGTTGGTCCTTTAAAAGTCATATAGCACTGCGGCCTAATTAGGCCTATTGTGCGCCCCACTACTAGTCCTATTCAGCAAGTAGATTTGTCCTTTTTACAAAGTCCAAAAGCTTCCTTGCTGACACCTCTCTCAATTCCTTGGGTTCCAAATAGGGTCTCCCAAGGAGCGTCATTCTGCTACGTGCAAATCCCGGGCACTCGCCCAGGATATGCAGAGAAGTTTCATCCGCCGATTCACATCCTCGGCAGACCGGACTGTCTACAAGCTTTAGTCTATGTAGATGTTTCTTAAAGTGACAGTGTCCCGTTATGAGTCCTGTCACTCTCCTGAGCCGGATTCTATTCAAGCTCAGTAGCTCATTCGCTCTTCCCTTCGAAGGATACTCCATAAGCTCCTTAGAATGGCTATGTCCTGGCCTTGAAGTCCAGTATTTCCTATGTTCTGTCTCTGTCCATTTGCCCAGAGCCCGCCTGACCACACTGGGAGATGTGCCACAGAAGGGCTCCGGGCCAATGAACACTGT